ATTTAAAGTGTCACAAACCGGAGCTGTTGGTACAAATGTAGTAAAAGAAAGAGCCAAGGGGCTCTCTGTCATTGCCTCGTTCCATCTTGGGTTTTGGTTTGTTCTTTTGTTTGATTTTGTTTATTTTATTTTTGGGGGGGGGGTCTACATTCTAAATGTAGTAGGTGTTTTACGCCCTAATCAACACAATTTTAGATCATTCAGTAGGCCTAAGCAGGTGGGCTTCTAACTTCGACCTTGCCTACTGTCAGGGCCAACCCGGACTGAGGGAAACAAAATCCGAACAGAAAGATGCCTGTACAAATGTACCCAATAAAAATTCTTCCCACTCGGAAACCGAACGCGGCTCTCCTGCATGGAACAGTGAAGCTTTTACTTTAGTTTTAGTATGAGTTTTGCAGCACTTGCAACACAATTAAGCTTAAGTCATCTATTAAGAAAATATACAGGCCAAAAATTCGAGGTGTTACTCGGGAGTACAGTAACAGTATATTATAGAAGCAGAGATAAGGTTTATTTTTTAAATTTATTCTTTAATTTTTTTTTTTAAATTGGGGGGCAAATGTTTTACTACGGCGCTCGCAACAGCAAAAGGGCACATGAGCGCACGAGACGCAGTGAGTATATTAACATTACCGGTAGGCCTATGTATTATCAGTTGGGTAGGAATCAATTTTGAATTTTGCCCGGGTGACGGCTACTCAATAATCTTATCGATTTCAGTTTTTAGAAATAATAAAACCACCAGCCAAAAGTAATCGCCCGTATCTCATTGCAATAAAGACAGATGTCAATAAAAGAAAGATAGGCTCTCACAGTCTCAACTATCAGTGTATCTGTGAGGTAGCCTACATGTAATTTGTAATGATTAGGCCCCTCTTTTAGCTTTAGTGCTTTGGCTTTAGTAGGGTTTTACGGCACTTGCAACACAATAAGGTCTTATAAGTGCCGAAGATTAGACGTGTTACAAGAGAGTAAAGTTGTTCCCGCATCAGATCAGGACAGTGGGGATTGCCTTGTGTTAGTGAGACAACTTCCTGGGCCTTCGGCATATTGTAGTAGGGTGGCCAGTTCCTTTCCACACAGCCTTTACTTCCCCAACTCGAAGTCAGGTAGTCTACCCATTACTGCTGTGTGTGTGTGT